ATAAAATCTATGAAGAATACTTTTTTGGAAAAATCACGATTCCTGCATGCGACTTACCCTGTCGTGAGTTTAGGGGTGTGCGGAGGATCCTGACTGGCCTGGGAGCCCGCTGACCCGGCCGACAGGCTGATGCTGGGCTCCAGGGACAGCGACTTAGACGACGACGTGGAGGAGGCCGTCGAGGTGGAGGCCAGGGCGGCACGCATGCGGCCGCGAGCCTGGGAGGCGCCCTGGCCCAGCGCCTGCCCCACGGCGTCTGTCCACGACCGGGGCTCGAGCAGGTCCTGGCCCGCCACTGTTGGGAGCAGACGGTGAAGGTCAGTGACCCGAAGTGAGGACAGCAGGGCACGTATGGGCAGAACGTCCTGCACTCACGGAAGTCCTCGTGGCTGCTCTTGCTCACGATGCGGAACACGTAATCCGTGGACTCGTCCGCGTCCTCGGCCAGGCGAGTGGTGGGCGTGTTGCGGCCACGGCGTCGCAGCTTGGGGAACACTTTGCCTGCAACCCAAACGCGTCCACGGTCAGCCCCGAGGAGACCCCCTGCGGCAGAAGCGTCCACCCACAGGCACGGCGCCGGGGGTTTGTGCGGGCAGGTGCGTGGGGTCTCTGCGCTAGCAGCACTACCAGCGTGAGAGAGAGAAAGAGAGCAAGCGCGGAGTATCGACGGTGCCTACCCTCTTGCTCCTCCTGTTCCTCCCGCAACTCTGCGACGGAGGCTGCGTGCGCAAGAGAAACGGCAAGACGAAAATGAGGAGGAGGGAGGTTGCAGGAAAGGGGGGAGGGGCGGGCAAGCAGGTGGACAGGGCTCTCGAGGGACGGGCAAGAAACTTGAACTTGGGGAGGACGGAGTGGGGCACTTGTGCACAAAACGAGAGTTAAAAAGGGAGGTCCCCCACTCCCTTGAGGGGTGACTAGCGGACAGAGTGTGACAAAGGGGACAGGGAGGGGGGAGAGGGGGGTCAGAAGTTGGTGTGGCAGGTTAATGGAACCTGGAGCGCTAAGGGATACACGTCGTCCTCCTCCCGCACCGTACCTTTGCCCCGCTGCGACCACAGGGGCGGGTCCAGCTGCCCCCTCGGGAGGAGGCCAGTCTCCAGGCACGACAGAAAGGCCAGCAGGTGGCCGCCTTTGGGGAAGTGAATGGGGGGACGCTGCACGCCGTCCTGGCCGACCAGCACCACCGTGCCGCCGTTGTCCCCTGCTGGAAGAGAAAAATTAGAGTCAGCCAGCGCGCCGAAGAAAAGTGGCCATATGTTGATTACGTCAATGGAACCAAACTAGATATTTATGCTTGTTTTTTTGTTTTTTTTTAAGTAAGCGTCGGCCAGGATAACACTCACCCTGCTGGTGGCAGTGCACGTACACGATCTCGTCCACCTTCACGTTCATGGCGTAGTCCCAGTAGATGCTGCAGCAAAAGAAAAAAAAAGAAATATACAGTGAGTTTGTGGCGCACGTGCCTTGCATCAGAGTCGGGGACCGAATGACTAGAAGGGGAATGGGGCGAGCGGCGAGCGGGGGAGGCACACAGAGGCGCAGACGGCCGCCCGCCTCGCCTCGGCCCCTTCCCCTTGTCGTTTAGCGTTCCGACCACTGCGGAAAGCCCCACGGCACGCTCTCCCCTTTGAAGTGGAACAGTCCAGGCAGAACCCCCATCCAAAGCGATAAACCAAAAGCTATGGAATCACCAAACCAACCTCTTATCCTTGTCCTCCGCCTCGGCGTAGCCGTTCATGAGTTGGTTGGGCGTCCACTTGATGGTGAGCGAGTTGTACGTTTGGTGCAGCGACAGGTAACCCGGCATAGCCTGCGCAAGGTCCTTTTGCTGGAAAATTGAAAAGAAAAAAAACGAGTTTCGTTAACTGTGCCACGCTTACTAGGAAATGGTCGTTGACTAACTATGTAACCAACGGGACCAACGGGAAATGCTACTCACTGGCATCACGAGCACGTTGTTCTTCCCGTAGAGCAGCGTCGCCCGGTTGTTCTGGTGCAACGACTCCACGTAGTCCTTGGGGGCCTGTCGCATCCCCTCCTCCGAGCTTACGCCGTGCAGCGAGCGCCGGAACTAGAAGCACGACACACATTGCGAAGGTAGCTGGGAGCCGAACAGAAAACACACAGAAAATCGTTTCTTTGGAAAAGCAAAGCGAATTTTGAATTTCCTTCGTTTAACGACAAAAAATCCTTCTGTATGGCGTTGTAAAAATTACTTATTTTGCTTCCAGAATAAGTAACCACACGCAATAAAAAAATTCACTTCTAACAAATTGAGCTGGTATAAAATTTTACACCCGTGCACCAGTACACGGTCAAAAGATTTGTATATGGATTTGCTAGCCAGATAGAAAATTTACACTGGCATTCAGTGCTCAGTCAGTTGAGTCTAGTTGTTTTTTTCTCCGGTGCTAGATAGTTAGCCGAAACTCGATTCCCTGCGAGGCAGGTGCTCCTCTTACGTTGAGTGCGGGCCTCCTGCCCGCAGGAGGGGTGTTGTGGCCACTCGAGATGCGGTGTCGCTGGACCAGCTCGTCGGCTGGAGGGTCCGTCCAGTAGTGGTCTTGCGTCTTGGTGCGGGAAAAGTCCAGCGCGCACGGCCCAACTGGCAGAGAAAAAAAACTTATCACAATTTGCTGGATACGTAAAACCCAAGATAAATGCAAGTATTCCGTACCAAGTAGAGAGCTGAGGATGGAGCCATAGTCGGGGTCCGCGACGAGCGAGTCTTTTTCGTAGTACTTGCTGGAAAAGGGAGAAAAGGTTTTGAGAGTTAGGTCAGAGTAGCCTCATTTGAAAGTTTAACACATGCGTTGCCGGTGCATTCCGTACTTGCTGTTCTGCACCAGGTGGTCGATTATCTTGGCGAGGTGCTTCTCGAAGAGGGCGAGTCGGATCCACAGGTAGCGGGGCGAGGCGAGCACGGCGCCCGACGAGTTCTTCTTCTGGAGCGGCGGCTTGGCGGGCCGGCTGGTGGAGTCGCCGCTGGAGCTGGAGCGCCTGGAGGTCGCACGTGGCAAAGCATTAGGACTCTGGGGTGGGGAGATGGTGAGTGGAGAGTGGAGAGCAACGAGGGGTCCTTCACTCAAAAAAAAATCAGTGTATACCCGCCCAAAAATATGATGAAAATCAGACAAAAATATCAGAATATATTCAAAAAGAAAATAAAAAAAAAGGCAGGAAAAATCAGGAAAATTAGATAAAAGTAAAACAAAATCCCAAAAAATCGGTGGAGGTTTGTATGGTAAAGGACCCCTCGGTGAGCCGGAGCCGGAGCATCTAGCAGACGCACGACAGGGCCACGCTAGTACTTGGGGTGTGGGAGATGGTGACAGATGAGTGGAGGTGAGGTGTACAAGCACAGGCGGGGAGAAGAGGAGAGTGGAGGGGAAGGGAGAAGCCGGCTGCAAGCCACACGACAGAAAAAACGGGAGCTTTCTTTCCTAGCTGAGGTATCCAGGAAGCCGTGGCACTCGGCTTGGAGAACATAAACAGCACTCAGTCGCGCCGTGCGGTCGGGACACAGCTGGAGCTCGTGGAGGGCAGCACTAGGTGTGGGAGCAGATGGCGAGTGGTGAGCAAGAGCGGGCGAAGGGAGGGGGTGGGGGGGATGAGAGGGCCGCGGCGGGCACCACAGCGAAAGGTGTGTCAGAAGGTGCGTGGTGAGCAAACACGAAATTATGAGAGGGGGGGGGGGCACAATTAAGCCACCGGCAAAAGCATTAGGGAGACTGTTTCACACCATCACATTGCAACAAAGAGAAAGGAGCTGGCTGCAGTAAGCACACGGCTTTGGAACTCCAAACCCCCAACCTATTTTACCGGCGGGAAAGTAGGGAGAAACCGTGAGGAGTGGTGGTCGGTGGTAATACAAAACTATCCTTTAGTACTCTGCTTCTGGAACACGCTTCGACAATGATCAAGCGAGCGGCGGCGTTCAGTATACAAGAGACAATTAGGTACCAATCAGTGTACTATTTAGTTTTACACCTATCGGCAGTACACAAAACACACACAAATCCAGCACAAAAAAATTACAAATACAATGTAGTATATACGGTGCGCTATCGAATATTGCTAGGCAAAAATACAAACAAGTTACGCCATAGCCCTACGCTTTTCTGATCAAAAGATATGTCTTTACTGTAAGTCTAAGAATGACAACATTAAATCTACACCAAACAAAATTATTACATCATTCTACAAAAAAAATCAAAACGTTACTTTATTTTTATGTACCATTGACTAATATATAATCCATGTTAACAATGTAAAGCCTAAGCCCAGCACAGACACCTTCGTGAAAGCGGTTATGAACGATACGGACAATATTACTACACTTTCGGCTCCGTATCTACAAACGGAAAGCCTCTCGATTTAAAAACAAGAAGTACCGTCCAAATTTTATTAACAGCACACATACATCCATCACAATGACCTATCTTAGATAAAGCTACGCAAACACATCATCCCCTGCCTCCCCGTCGTGTGTATCCTCTCTGAAGCGGGAGTACGAGTCCTTGATCACAATGCAACTAGTGGAAGCGGAGTGCGTTAGGTCGAGGTGTCAGCTCAACAGGTGATGTGAAGGGAGGACTTCATGTGATGCGTTAGGCGTTCAACTGTGTCGTCATCATGAGAGAGGAAGAAACACGACAGTACTGACCACACCTTGGATAGGAGCTCATGATTTTATTGCCTGCACCAAGGCACTAAAAGTACGTGCTGGTGCACCAATCATAGTATGCGGCAACAATTACTATAAATAATTAATCAAAGGTGATGGTTTTTGTCACCAATGAAACAACTTTAATGTAATTTCCGGCACATGAACAAAATTAAAGAATCTCAGCTTAAGTTTTTTTTGTTAAATAACAACATAACAAAATCTAATTTGTTGCAAGCGCAAATAATTTGCGAGGGGACCTAAGATTCTTTTGCCACAAAGAACACATAGCAAGGGTGGCGCAGTTCGACGTTCGTTCCGAACACAGTATGTCGTTAGTATTGCGAAAGAACGTTTTGGCACCCTACGTAGGTATTTAATACGTGGCAACAGAGTTATAGTCCACTGTGCCACTGTGCAATTTTTTGGTCCTAGATGCAAATTAGTTTTTGTAATGTAATGATTCCTTTAACAAAATCAGAGCTGTGACAACAGTTTTTTTTCCGTGCGTTATCTGTAGCACAAAAGCGTCAGCCACTGTCAGAATTTTTTCCCTGCTTTGGTGGTTTGGGGGGTTGTCTCTCTTTCTCAAAGCACATCCATACCTCAGCTGTCCGGGTGTAGCGATCGCAAAATGCCTCCGAGGTTGGCGAGCTGGTCTAGCCCAAGGAGGAGCGGAAAGAAATAAGAACAACGTATTTGACACATTCAGGCAGGCGACAATTATGAGGCAGGCAGGACCCTCCCCGCCGAGCTGCGGCACTGGGGCACCGGCCCATCAGTAATTAAACAGAGTTGATTTTGTTTAGCTTTTCTGGTGATTTTAGCTGTGTTTTTTGTGGTGATGCCTACTGACATTGCATGACTAGTGCTACGTCTAGCTACCTACGGATGGATCATGGAACATGGAAACTCACGGCTTTCGGCCGTTGGTGTTTGTCCTGCACACGCCGAGGCAGCGATGCAACAAGCAGAACACGATGACTCCAACTTGCGGCTCTATGTTTAGTCCAAAGACACGGTAGATTTATTATTTTTCAATCGGTTTACGTTGATCACGATTACGATTCTATTTAACATGAAGACTTTTCTGCGACAAATTTTAGGCGAGTTATTCTTTTATGTTATTTTAGTTCTTGTGCTGTTGCGAAGAAGACTGAGGGAGGAAAAATGTGCTGCAAGGAAGACGTGTGCATCGGACTGTCGTTTCCACTCGAGTAACGCGCATCCCCTTGCCTGCTGCGCGCTTGTCCCGAACAATAACAACAAAGAGGAGAGATAGAGTGACGGCGAGAAATGGAGAAATAGAAGTGCTCACCGTGTGGGGTCCGCGTTTTCAATCTCCTGGACCCGCCTGGACACGACCTCGGCAGGGGCGAAGTTCTTGGCCACCTTGTGCAGCAGCGCCGTGGTGGAGGACGTCTTGAAGAGGCCCAGGGCCCTGCGGCGGAGCCCCTGGCTCAGGCACGCCTCCACGGCAGCTGCGGGGAGAGCACACAAAAGCGACTGGTAACGGCGGGTGTGACCAGAATCAAAACGAGCCCATAGGGCAGTAGCGGACAGTAGGGAGGGGGACTAACGGCCGCCTTGCTGCCCCTGTCGCCAAGCCGCCGCCGGCTTGAATTCTACCAAACTAGCATTGACGGGTCATACTCCCCCAGAAAATACATTTCATGAATCAATTGTGAGCCAATACAACCTGCATATTGTGAAAAACAATCATAGGTTTTACGAAAAAATTTCCATGAAGGGTATCGTAAAATTAAGATTCAAAATTGTAATATTGCAAGCACTGCGTATTATCGACTTGGATTTCATTAACGAGCAATAATGGGCTGTCGCGTAAATTTACAACATTGTTTGTAAGAAGTAAATTACATATTATTTGAAATCGACCAGGATATTTGCACAGAGTAAACAAAAGTGCTTAACTTCAAGTTGTGCATTTTAAAACGTTCAACTTCAAGCCTGCTCTCCCAAGTCCAATTGAGTAAAAAGTGAGTAAACGGGTATCGGGGGTATAACAGTGCAGCGCCGAGCACTGGGTGCTTCATCTCGAGCCGCCAAGGGCGCAGAGGGGGGAAACTCTGATTCCGCGACCCCAAACCCCAACAACAAGAGCCCTTCCGAGTAGTTCTCCACCGGCTTCTTCTGCCCACAATAGAGAAGGGGGGAGGGGGGACGTTGTGCGCCCCACAAGCAGCCCCCTCCCCGCGCGGCAAGAGATCCCCGCGCCTTCCTCACGCGACGGCACGTGGAACGCAATAACCTCGCAGTGGCATTTAAAACGCTCTCCCATTCCCGCCACCACCGTGACCGGGGCGAGACCGAGGCACAACCGCCGCGCCCCACGCCACGCACTCTGGCATTAAGAGAACGAGGCGTTGGGGCGTAAGGGATAATGCATGCAAAGTGCGGAGCGCGCAAGGGGATCATCTCTGCTGAATCGAGGTCGCCAGCGCGGAATAAAATGGGGAAAAAATGAATAAGGGATTATCGGGGGGAAAAGGGGATCACGTCGTCGCGTCGTATACAACTCACCGCAGAGGGAAGTGACGGAGCTGCTGTCCTCGTGTACGAACTTCTTGGTGACGGCCTCCTCCATAATCTGCTTGACCTGAAAATGTCGAATAAAGAAACGCAGTGTTAAACGTTTACCCATCGAAAACGAAATAATGAGGTTCTTTCTAAAGGAATGGGAGATTTGCAATAAGACACGGAGTAATAATACACTCCACATACTTCAAAAAGTCGGAATTTTGACAGAGTGGCGACCTCGTGCGTTGCACTCGAACCGTAAAGGTATGACGAGCACGCGACAAGACCATCTTCTTCTGCCAGGCCGGGCTTAAGTGCCGCCAGCCAATCACCATCAGAGGGCAAAAAGGGGGCGAAGCGGGTGGGGGCGCGGGGACGTGGGACGGGGAGGAAGGGACAGAAACCAGGGCGAGTGGATGGGATAGGAGTGGAAGGGAGGGGGCAAGAGCGGCTTATAAGGGCTAACAATGCCCGCTTCATTGGCGCTTGACGCGTCCGCCGGGGCCGACGCCGGGAAATGAGGGATGGATGGTGCTGGCAACCCAAGGCGAGCAGGCACCGGAAAGAACAGGCAAACTTACGGCAAGAGCCATATTATTAT